AACAATTTTACATTGGTGAAAACGATTCTATGCATAAATTTAATTTGAAAAACTTCAATTTTATTGTCGATTGCCAGTTTGTGAAGTACACAGAATATTTTTTTGATGTTCAATTTACCCATATCTGACCACTTTTGTTCTATTTCACTTACATCAGTACCAATACGCTCCACAATGGCATGATACACGTTGTTACAAGTTTTTTTAAACAGATTAAGACTTATAAATATCAACGCATTCATTAGTTATTTTCGGATTTTCTTTGAGTTTAATTCTCCAAGTCGTTGGGACAGAATGCCGGATTGCATTATACAGAAGAAAATCAATTTTAATTTGATACTTGGATTTTAACTCATTTTGTAGAAGGAAAGACCCCTCGCTATTTGTTATAACTTTTATTGTGCGAATACCAGCATTCCACCAGTGACTCTGAATTTTAAAAGTTCTATAAACAAAACAACAATTATTCCATAAAACTTGACTGCAAATCTCATTTGCAGTATCCGGGTTAGGTAAAAAGTGATATTCACTCCAGGCTGATAATACATCTTTATAGAATCCAGATAATTGGTTAAGAATACCGGACGTATTAGAAAAATTGCATGTGAAGATATTTCTTCCACCGATAGATTGTAATTCAGAGGTAAAGAAGGTTTTCCACTTTGCATCACTTTCATCAAGGTAGCGCTTAATCCAGCAACCTATGAGAGAATATATATAGCTTAGTATATGTGGCATCTTTAAACCTCCTTTATCCAACTTATTGTATAAAGTTTTTCTTCTTAATTTATCCGGTTTTCCATCCCAAAGGAAGGCAAATACATATTTTGTACTCTGTTGATAAATTCTGTAGAGGGTATTGGTAGATTTGAAAAGTTATACGATAAAATCGGTAAAGCCAAAGACTTTACTATTAGAACTTTTCCAATTAAGGATAGATTTCGTATTTTCCATGTTCTAAGAACATTGTCTATTCTGTCTAATTTTCTTTCAAAATTTAGTCCAAATAATTGATCACTGTTGCCAGAAACGTGTACTCCCAGGTATTTTATAGGCCCATCCGTCCAATTAATATTTTTGTTACATTCGACTTTAATGTTGGTATAATTAAAGGAGCCAATTCTAAGAACGTTACTTTTGTCAAAATTTACACGAAGACCGGAAAATTTACTAAACTTATCAAGAATCTCTATTGCCGTATTAAGCGTTTGTTCATCTTTTTAAAAAAACACTGTATCATCTGCTAACTGGTTTATTCTGATATCAATACCTTTAAATGTGATGCCTTTGAAACACTTGTCTTGTCTAACTGACAGACCCAAAATCTCTGCTGATAATATAAATAGATAAGGGGATAGCGGGTAGCCCTGTCTTAGCCCTCTTGATAGGTTAAAATAATTGCAGGTGAAACCATTGTTAATTACGCAACTAGAGATATCATTATACATTACTGTGAACCATCTTTTAATAGCCTCACCAAAGCCAATTTGTCCAGTGCTTTTTCAACAAATTTCCAATTCAAACGATCAAAAGCTTTTTCGAAATCTACAAATAAAAGCAGGTTATTCAGACACTTATCTTTTGCATTTTTAATTACGTCAAGTACTAATCTGATATTTTCCCCGATGTAACGACCCTTCAGAAACCCAGTTTGGTCGGAATTAATTACGCTTGGCAATGCTTCTTTCATACGTGTGGCAATTATTTTGGCTAAAATTTTGTAATCTACATTAAGCAAAGATATTGGCCGCCAATTTTTTAGGTAATGTCGATCTTTACCTTCTTTTAGGATTAATGATATCACACCTCTACGTTGAGATGTTGACAACTTGCCTATTTTTTTTAAATATAGAAAGGAACTTACTAAGGATTTTTTTTTTATGTCGCACCAGAAATGTTTATAAAATTCTACCGGCAGACCATCTGTACCCGGGGTTTTGTTATTCTCCATTGACTGAATGGCTTCTTTATATTCTACTTCTAATATATTCGAATTACATTTTTCTGAGAGATTTAGTTGGATTTTATCATTCTGGACTGTATTCATAAATCCAATCATATCCAAATCACTATTATTATCACTTTCAGTATAAAGTTGTTCAAAAAAAGTTTCTCCTCATTTAAAATTTCTTTTGGATCTGTTATTTCTTTACTCTCCATTCTAAGTTTTGTTATGTTCTTTTTATTGTAATTTCTTCGCTCTAAATTAAAAAAATACTTAGTGCATTTTTCACCAGATTCTATCCATCTGGCATGTGATCGAATCATAGAGCCTTTTGCTTTGCGATCATAAATATCATTTATTTCTTTTTGTTTGGCCGTAATTTCATTAATAATCTCAATTTCATTTGTATTTTGGTTTGTAAGTTCCTTTAATTATGAATTAAGTTGGGTTAATTTCTGTTTCTGTTGTTTGTTAAATTCTTTTGAAAATTGAATTGACTTCTCCCGTACTTTAAATTTTATCATCTCCCATGTTAAATTTTGGTTAAAATTTGCAGAATTGCATTCCGTTTCGGTCTCCGCCATGACCCTTTTAATCGATTGGATATAACTTTCATTTTTTAAATACTGTACGTTCATTTTCCAGAGACCCGGTCCCCGGGGAAGGTTGGAGCTCTGAATCGGCAGGGAGACAAGAGAGTGATCGCTTTTAAAACCTGGTGATATTTCAATAGATTTTATATTAATATATGGCCGAAGGTCCTGTAATACAATGAAATAATCAAGTCTACACCGTATTGGAGGAGAGTGATTTGATTTCCAAGTGAATTGTTTCTTGTTTCCACTAATTGTGCGCCAAATGTCAACTAATTCCAGAATTTCCATCATATTTTTAATTTTGGTTGCGCATTTAGGGTGGGTTTGGCCATTTCCGTTTAATTTATCTAAATTACAATCTAAAATTGTGTCTCCACCTATAACAAGAGGATATTTTGCAACCTCAATAATTTTATATATCAGTGTAGAGAAAAAGATGTCATTGTCAATATTCGGGCCACCAATGTCAAGGGTTTCTCATTGATTACAATATTAAGGATGAGTACACAACCATTATCATCCGAGTAAATATCTTTCATTTTACAGGTTAAATTTGATTTTAGAAGTATACATACACCTTTTGAATTTGACGTACCAAAGCTGTGATAGATGGAATAGCCCCATTCATTTTTCCAAGATCTCTCTACAGCTTTTGTGCAGTGCGAATCTTGAAGCAGAAAAATTGAGTAAGGCTGATCACGAAACCAGCTAAAGACTGTATGTCTCTTAATGTGCTCTCGCAATCCACGAACATTGAGAGAACATATACTTATATCAGTCATAAATAATTGGATTTCCACTTGTACAATTTAGGGCTAGCTGCAAGGCATATTTGATAAAATATTAGTAAAATCACTTTGGGCAATTTTTCTAAATATAAAAACATTCAAAGCTGTTTTCTGAATGTACATACACTGCATGTTTTATTTCTTTCCAAACATCGTAATTCCACAAAATGTAGTAACACAGGTCAAATATAACCTTGGGAAAAAATTAGTAGCATGAAAACAGACAACAAATAAAGCAAACCTTAACTTTATAGAAGTGTTGAATTTTGTAAAATAAAGAAAAGCAACGATTAATAAAAGTACAAATATATACATACAACAAAAAGTTGATAGTGTTGACGTGGCAGAATTCGAGGCTTTCTGAAGATGCTTATTCTGCTTGCCCCTTTCTCCACAACTCAAAATTTCAATAAAGTTTCTTCGGAAGTGTTCATTAGTCACAGTGTACAATATTGGGTTTAAGCACGAATTAAAACACCAAAAATAGTCCACGCTTGTCAAAATAAAGTTGTTTATCTTCATGGTCCCCAGTTTGCGAATTGTAAGAACGATATAATATGGAGTGTAGCAGATAAGGAACCACGAAACGATTGCACCTAGCATGGTGGCAGCTTCTTGTATCTCGTTTCGTTGAGTACCTCGGAAAACCCGAATTCCCCCATTCTTCCTGTGTGACATCACTGAGGATTTTGTACACTTCATATGCATTGCTCGTTTAGTTTTGGTTTCTTTCAACCTTGATTGAATGTCTCTTTGAAGAGATTTACCAGTCGACCAGTCGGCAACTACTTTGAAGACATTAATGTTGAAGTATATGAGGAGAACCAATATTAGTAGAAACTCAACAAAGGTTCCCACAATATTAAATATTAGGACCTCATCTGCAGGTAAAAAAACATTCTTCTGTATAATGTATCTCATCAGTTGATATTAACCTCCAGAAGAAAACATTTATTCCGTAAAATAAGGAAAAATAAAGAACAACCACTGCAGACAAGATCCTAGCCTTCCGGTGTGTCATAAACGCTTTGTATTTTAAATGTTTCTTCACCATCCAGTAGCGATCGAGACTGAGTAACAATACACACCCCTTTGAAATTTCAGAAGCCGTGTAATTAAAAAATAGATTGATTTTGCACACAGTTTCCCCAAATATCCAACACCAAACATAATCCACAAATTGGCAAAGGGTGTGGTATCAGCAATCGATAATATTAATACAAAAATATTTTCGGGCTTCGATCGTATGATTTTATCTCGATAACTGAGTTGGATTTTCAAGATAACTTACCATGATTACAGACGGACCTGAAAGATTAAGACCTAATTAAATGGTATCCTTCATCTTATATTGTTGAAGCTTCAATAATATCAGTGACTTAGACTTTATATCCGCCTAATGAATGACAGTAACCTTTTCCAGCTATTGAATACAAAATCTGCATACGAAAGTATAATACATACTCCAAGTATTGAAATACACGCCATCGTGTAATCTGCATACAGTTCAACAAATTGCAGTCAGTCTAAAAAAATAGTTTTCTTAATAGTTATCATTAATCAAAACCAACAATATATGGTAGATTAGTTAGTCACGTATAGGTTGTCATGGTAACATATACATTAAGTAGTGTGATCGTCACTATTACTACTGTCTCTTATACGGTCTTGATGGGGCTTTTATTTAAGGAGGCGTTTTCGAGCTAGGGCGCTTATTTCTAATAAATACCTTACAACATAAGGTAGGCCTATATGGTCATTATCACTACCGTGGTCATCATCATCCCCATCCTTATCATCAGACTATGATTTGGCATTGTATATTGTCATTCATTTTTCATATTTATCTTGTTCAAAATCCTATCGACACGTCAACAACATCCCACTTGCTGAATAGATAGTGAAATATGAGTAAACCATACAGTAATAATAATAATAATAATGATAATAATAATAATAATAATAATAATAAAAATAATAATAATAATAATAATAATAATAATAATAATAATAATAATAATATAAGCATATTTAAAACAATCTTAGGATCTGCCAATATCGTTTGACATAAGAGGGTATGAAACATACTCATGTCTTGTATTTTGAACAGTACTGTACATGAAAGATTCCGCTAGCCCCACCCTTTGGGCATTGGTAGGTCCCACACACAACACGACAGCGTAAATACATGTGCGTTTTGTGGGACAAGAGTTAACATTTGATTATCAAGTACTTTGAAAGTGGCTTATCAAAGTACTCGATAAGCTAGTTTTCGTCGACCACTTCGGTAGTAAAACACGAAAGCAATAGCAGAGCCGATGACCGCAACTCCCACAGTGATCCCTACAATTAGGCCAATACGCACGGACTTCATCACTAGAAAAATAAATCAAAGAAAGTTGATTACTATTATTTAAAATACTGCTTTATTTATAAAAATACATAAACATTGTGGTGATCTCCAGCATAAAGTCAATAAAGTTAATATGCTAATGAGCTAATAAAATATATATAAAATTATTTTACAAATTATAGGCCAAAGGTCACCGTGCAGAAAGGTCGAATAACATAAAACAAAGAAAATGACAATCATTGTGTGTAAATAGTTTGTCAGACGTAAGCATATTATTTAGTGATATCATGGTAACTTTGACACAAATGTTCGTTTTGATATGTGTACGTTAGCAATCAACACAAGGACAAGTGACAAGGAAGCAAGGTGTCGTGTCTTTATGTCGAAGTAAGTAAAAATTGCATTTTTGTTTACCTTCGCATTCCTTTAATTCAGCCACGGGATCTATTCCATTATCAGCTACACATACACCACTGCCTTTCATGCATGTTTGACTCGAGAGATCTAATGTGGTAGCGCTACCCAGCCCAGAAGCGACTACCACTGAATTAACCAATATGCTAACATTTGCTGTCGGGTAGCAATCTGATTTACAAGTTGTCTCTAGGTTCTTGTAGACGAAGCTAGTCACGGTGCAGGCTGTTGTGGAAAGAAATAGTAGTAATACCATGCTATTGAAACGGCAAGCGTCTTTCTGATCACAAAAATATTTCAAAGAACAACTAGCCTACAAAAATAATCTGACAGAACCAGGTAGGTCTACTACGCAAAGAATGATGTAGCGCTCACGGGGAACGGAGTTGGATTCGTCAGCCGATGGCCATACGACACGTGAGTGCCCAATACAGTGTAACTATGTGCGATATAAATGTCGACCAAAATATGACTAGCACTGCAGGATGTTTACTATTTTCATTAACCAAAGAGCTGGGATGAAGGAGGGAGGTAACTTCATTAAGGCGACAGTGGCAAAAAAAATTATAACCAATTAAAATATTAATATGTTCTTTATGGTGATCCTCACTGAACGCAACACGACTACGCGACAGAATAAAAAGGCCTGTTTATACTTCAACGATAACGATAACGATAAAAAAGCTAAAAAGCGATTGTTCATATAAAAAACAAAGAAATAAGAGGAGTTTTTACACTAGGAGGATTCGATAACGATTGATCGTGTATACGATAACAAAATATTTTTAAAAATCAAATCAGATGACGTCATAATCATGGAAAACGATAAAATCGTTGCTACTACTACGATTTTAATGTTTTTCCAACTGATAAATCGTTATAGTGTACAAAACTTCTCTTATTTCTTTTATTTTCTATATGAACAATTGCTTTTTAGCTTTTTTTTTAATCGTTATCGTTATAGTATCTATGCATATTTATATGGGGAGCAACACTGCCTCGATGGGTATTCGATTGGTATACGGATTTTGCTTGAAATTCTTCTGGGAATTAATATGGATTTTGTTTAATTTTGTGGTGTAATTGACACTGGGCCTTGAGCACCATTGGTGGAGATGTGCGCTTTATAAATCTTTATTATTATTATTATTATTATTATTATTATTATTATTATTATTATTATTATCATTATTATCATTATTATTATTATTATCGTTGAAGTATAAACAGGCCTTAAGGCGTGTCGCAAGGTCGCTCATCAAATAATAATTTTCTATTTCCGAAAACTGTCGTGCGACAAAAAATATTCTGACCAACTGCTCCACTCCGGCCATCCGTCACTGAGCATGTACTGCAAAATTGAACAAGCCAAGAAATGATTGCACCCGCGCCGCTGTCGCGTGCCGCTGTCGCGCTCGGTGTAAATAGGCCTTTACGGCATTAATTCGCCAAAAGCATCCTTAAGATTTTCTTTTTATGAATTCGTCCTGAATTTTAAAAAAGTTTATGATACGTACATGACACGACCAGATATAGAAACAGCCTTCCATTTTCAACACCGTCATCAACTATACATATACTGAGTCCATCGTCCTCTTGCTGCACGTCAGTGACTGTAAACGTGAATGAATTATTCATCATCATCGACGTCGTATCAATACTGAATCTACCATTTGGATTTTCTTTATTTGATTGCACCATCAATTCTCCTATCTCGTCATCTTCAAATCGGTGGAAAGCGATGTAATTCAGAACACGACCAGTGGACAGTTCGTATGTAAAGTTTATCGTGGCGTTCTTTTCTAGGTGAAGAATGATGACACCTGGTCCCTTCACAACGGGGGCGGTGGTAGTATGACCTTGGGGTACTAAAACAGTAAGTATTTCGTTAATGATGACGCTATGGACAATATGCATTGGCAAAACCACTATTTCATTTCGCCCTACTCCTCACTACACTTGAATAAACTTTTATTTTTTTATTCTTTAAACCAAGTAACCTTCTTGAAATTTATTATTACAGAAAAAAATTCTTGTATCTTAATAATGAAATGAAACAGTTGGCTAGTTCAGTCACTGCGTCCGACGGTCGTCAGCCGACGCATTTTATGGTAAAACACTGAACGCCACGACGCGCGCGAAACGCACGGATCGTTTTTAATGAAGATCCGTTTAGTCTGGCACCAACAATCAGCAGACAGTGTCGTGTATTCTAACGCTCAGAAGGAGCGGAGTTGAATTAGTCAGCCGACGGCCATACGACCGTCGTACGACGCAGTGAGTGCCCGGCTTTAAGCTACTCACATCGGATCCGATTCGAAATTTGGAACGCGTTTTCGATGTAATGAACGCCAGCGTCTCTATTCGTACACACTGTCGATTTTCTGATAGGTTCCGTAGGCCTTCCGATCCGAGAATTCGGGTTTAGTGTAAATGCAGATTTACAGGGAAGCTTCAAAGCCGTTTGTATTATGAGATACCATGGTCATGAACCGTAGTCATGCAATTGACAGAAATTCATGCCACCTATTATGTTTAGGAGCCTCTAATCTGCAACTACTGTGCCCACTTCTTCACATCTTTGATTACGCCTGTGTTTCTGACATGCATTTTGTTATATTTATGAATTCGTCATTTTATTAAGCAAGTATAGTTTAACAAAAAATAATTTTAGACCTATAAATGCCCAGGAATGAATGACAAAAATACCCGATAATTAAACGAATCAGAATTTTAGGCCAAAATGAAGAATAGTACTGTGCATGTATGACACCGCACCAGTTTTGTGAATATGAATTACTGTAAATGTTGTTGCTAGTGGAGTGGTACCACAAACTAAATATGGATTTATTCAACAGGTAAGAAACAATAGTGTTATATTCAACTTCGATTTTCTCATATCTGAGACACTCTTTCGTTAAATAAAAAGAGGGGATGTGTTTTAATTATACTTTTTAAAAATATAAAAATCTCTTCTTAAATTGTTCTTCAAATATATTTTTCATAACCAAGTATTATGTGTTATCTCATTGTTAATTTTTAGTGTCAAATTTGTTGGGATTTCTCAAGAAAGTGAATCAAAAATTAATGAATTATCCGGTTTAAGATGGTGACTACATCTTGAACTGCAATAAATAAATTAATTTAATTTAATTAATGAGACTAATATATTGTTTTTTTTTTATAAAGACAGGCACATGTTGTAAGCTTTTGTCCTTAAAACTTAACAATATTTTGAAAAATCACCTTGTGATAGAAGCTAAAATGTAGTAACTTACCTTTACATAACAGAAACACCGTTATGAATGCCCACACCAATAACCTGGAGAAAAATGTAAGAAAGTATGTGTGACGACTTTTACACAGTACATTATAATACCAGTACGGGACAATGTTTATAGCCATACCAGAACCACCATCGCTACTATTAACATCATCACCCCCAACCCCACAGCCACCACTACTACTTGTGCTGCTGCTCTGTTTCTCCTGTTGCTGTTGCTCGTGCTTCTGTGGCTTTCAGTCACTACCACACTGCCGTATTCACGTGCGGTTAAGAATATTACAGTATACCAGTTCAATACACAAATTATACAAATTACATTCATTCAGAAAAAAATCCACAACAAATTACAAATTGCAAATTATTTACATAGGCATCAAAAGAAGCGGTGGCTTGTCAGTTTGAATACCAAACATACAAAACATACACGCACAGAATACATAGTAAACACATCAACATTTGAATTTTTAAATTTGGGATCGTCCACAATTGCCAGCACCTCCAGGAAGGGGAAATGCCTCAGTGATCATCACGTCATAGTAATCATACCGTGCGCCTCAGACACCAAGACATCTCCGACAGTGTACTGCCCCGGAAAGTGCCAGCGATCATAGGCGACTCCCAAGAAAAGTTTTCCTTAAAAAGTATTTAAAATCATCTCTTTCAATTTATTTTTGATCGAATTTTGCGAATTTATTTTTAAAAGGCTATCATATAGCTCATTCCAGATATTTGGTCCGTGAATAAAAATAGATCTGTGACAGGATGTCAGTCTTGAAAAAGGTACATACATTTTGTTTGAATTTCTTTTGCACGTTCACTTTTTGTATTACCATCAAGGATTTCGCATAAGGGAGCGGGTAATACCAGGACAGCCTTTACAGACATACCACAGAACCAGCATCGCTACCAGTACCATCATCCCCACCCCACTGTTACTAGTGCTGCTGCTTTGCTCCTTCTGTTGTTGCTGCTGTTACTTCTGCTACTGCTTCTACCGCTCCTGTGGCTTTCTGTCACTGCCACACGGCCACTTAACATGTGCAGTTACGACTATTCAATATATCAATTTAATACCAGGACAGCCTTTACAGATATACCACAGAAGCACCATCGCTACCAGTAACATCACCCTATCCCACTGTTACTAGCGCTGCTGCTCTGCTCACGCTGTTGCTGTTGCTACTGTTCCTGGGGCTGTATGTTATTACCACTGCCACTCACCACGTGCGGTTATTTACGTCAGTAGTACCAGGACAACTTTTACAACCATACCACAGCACCACCATCGCTCCGTTAACATCACCCCGAGTGGCCGCTTCTCTGCTCCTGTTGTACTACTACTGCTGTTGCTGCCTTCCATTACCAGCCATTACACAACTACTAAAATGAACAACTACTACCAAAATGTAGGCCTATACCCAGGCCTACATACTGTAGACCTACTTACTTTTTAACACCAAAAGTCGTGTACCTTGTAGTGACAGCCATCATCACACTTTGTGCCATCTAGATTCAAGATCAAAGGTAACAGCAACGTGTATTTTGTATAATTTATCTCACACCCAACGGTAAATATGCGTATAAGTCATAAGTCATCATATATATCAAGATAATTGATTACATATAATATTAAAAGTAAACGAAATCGAGATAAAATTATAAGCCGGATACGTACGATAACCTCATTTTAGTCGTCAAAAATGCCCTTTACCATGGTTTAACAGGAAAGACTGATTGAACAGATTCCAAAAACAAAACAAAAAAGAAGTAGACTTGCAAATTGGTTATAAATTCGTAATTCACAGTTGCCCTGCGAATTAACATCACATCCTATTATATGGTCCGATTACCGTAAAACCTCAAATTGAAGCCCAGCGGGCTTAATCTCGAGATGAAGCCCATCTCGAATTGAAGCCCCCTCTTTAGTTTGCAAAATTAGCCTTAAAAAAAGACCATCCCGAAAAGAAGCCGAAAAGCCCATGGGCTTCTTTTCAAGATAGCATAGGATTCTTTTCGAGATAGTACAGTACATACACTGTACATGAATTTCAGAAAACAAAATAAATTAAATGCAAGCTTGGTTTATACAGTAGATTAGGTGATTTAATGCCAGTTACATACACTCCATGATACAGATTGATGTTACAGTAGCCTTTTTTTGTTTTATTGTACAAATTCACAACACTTACAGCATTCATTTTGAAAAGAAGCCCCCTCTTTACTTTACTAAAGTGGTCTCGAAAAAAAATCCCATCTCGAAAAGAAGTCCATCCAAAGTTCGCATAAAAAAAACAAACAAAAAAAAACCTTCAATTCGGGGTTTTATGGTATCTTTTCAGCTCCCTATTTAGTATTCCTTATACAACATATCACTTGTTATACTTTTCTTCTCAGAAGAACTTTCCAATGTATTTGAACTTGAACTTGAACCTCTGTACACTGTTAAGGCTAGACTGCAAATACACCTTTTAATTTTGTACATGCTCCGTGCCTTTGATGTTTACTATAGTTAAATGATATTAAAAGCATCATCGTCATCCATATTTTCATCATCATCGTCATCATTATTGTCATCATCATCATCATTATCATTATGTATATGCCGGACATTACGAGTAAAAGCAGAACATTACGTTAATTATAATAGTATCAGCCTAGATTTTGGAATAAAAATCATTCTTAGTTTTTGAATAAAATTAATTTTCATTTTATTAATCATATACAGAGGTAGTGAATATAATACATTTGCTTTCACGGTGCGATATGATAAAAATACTTAATATAATTTGACTAGGCCTACTGACACGTTACTCTAGATAAATCTAAAGGCATTTTAAAGCACTTATTTCCAGTGGCGCCGTATCTAGGAGTCTTGAAATGGAGGGGTGGGCTGATGAGTGGGCGCGAAGGTAAAGTGGGGGACTCGATGATCATTATTAACTAATTGACCGTGATTTTTTTGGGGGTGGGGCGACTGGGTAGGGGGCGCCCCCCCCCCCCACGACACCCTTAGATACGCCACTGATTATTTCAGAGTGTTATGTTGCCATGATTTTGTGGTCGACAATTTTGGCAATAACACCCAATAGAAATAACTGCAGAGCAATTCATAATTCACAATTGTCCTGCCATTTAACATAAATCGTATGACCTAGTTATCATTTTAATTTCGGCTACAACGTGGCTCGTGTGCACTTAAAAGAACCCAATACATCTTTCGAGATGAGTAGGAGGTTACACCGGTGTACTGGTCCATACAGCCCCTGTTGTGGACAGATGAGAGTAGCTGGTACCTTACCGGGTAGCTCAGACATGAAGAGACCCTTACAGGGGAGAAGAAAGTTACTGTACAAGCTAGTCCATAGCGATTTGAGACTCCGGTATAAAGCGCTATATAAATCGAACTACATTACATTACAACCACCCCCCCCCCACCCAACAAGGCGTTTGTACTCTTTTGAAAATGTTGAAAATTTTGGATGGCCGCCTTACGGAATCAGTAATACATTAGTTATGGCGACGAATGCTTAGATTTGAAACAATAATCACTCTTAGTTTTGGAATGAAATCACATATTGACTAACGAGGCCTACTGACATTTTAAAGATTTAATTCAACGTAGTATGCATCCACTGTTGTCGTCGACGATTTCGGCAATGACAACCAATCGCAATAGCTGAGCCAATGATCAGAACAACTCCGACGGTAAACCCTGCTATTAGGCCGATACTTAGTAGGTCTTCAGTCTTTATTACTAGAAAATAAATAAATCAAAGAAAGAAGTTTTATAATAATTATAAATTCAAATTATTAACTTACTTATTTTAACATTTTTTTAAAATAAGTTTAAAATTGGACAATAAAATTTGCATATAATAATAAAAAATATGCTTTCCTACTATGGTTAATCTCCAAAATTATAATATAAAAGAAAGTTAAAAATGTATTTTTGTTCATATGCATATTAGACTTTTTGTGTATTATTCGGAATTTATACGAGCATGGAGGTGCCCATAAAATAGAAAACAGTTGTGGATAAGTATGAAAGAAAATGACGTTGCAAGTTGTTTCGTTGCGAAATGACGTTATAAATACGTACTTTATTTTTCTACCAAAAAGAGTTTTAGTCGTATATCACGCAACCGCGACAGTAAGTATTTTGAAGGATTGTGTAAGTCTTGATAAAGAAGACTAAGTTTTAGACTGGGTATAGTAATTTATATTATTGGAAAATAACATACTATATAATATTTGCGTGCTATATCTATGAATGTACGATCGATATCAAATTGCATGCAAGACGAGTTGATGTCAATGCATTTTATACGCTACAACGGCAACGTTGCTTGCGATTGAAGATGTATTGTCCCATGCTAAATACCAAAACAATCAAAAAAATATTTTTTGAAATTAAGTTGCCCATTTTGAAGTAACATAAAAGTTATCATCTTGAACATACAAATTAGTGTATTTAAAAAATGTCTACCCATCAGTTTACAGTGAAAAATGATAGAAACACTTCCAGTAACTGGAAGTGTTTTATTATTATAATTATAATTTTTTGGTTTTAAAATCAGGGTACACATTTTTAAAACTCAATAATTTTTATGCACAAGTTAATAATTTGTATGCTATTGCAATATGAGCAAGTTTGATGACAACGCAAAGAGTATAGAATTGCAAGATGTCCGACTGCCTTAATTTTTGTATGCACGCTATGGAACGTTAAAAAAGTACTCCCTCGAGATAGAGGCGCCCTATTAGATTTCGAATAGAGGATTCGAATAGAATTCGTCTAAGGACACGCCCCTTCGTGGCGGTGCTTTTTTGAAATAAGATTACGTTCCAACTAAACCACGAGAGTCCGACTTCTTGCAGTTCTATGTACTCTATGCGTGGTGAGTGCCCGGCTTAACATTTACCATCACATCCTAGTACTTCAACCACTGGATTCATTCCATTATCAGCTACACATATTCCACTACCATTCATACATACTTGGGTCGAGAGATCTGACGTGGTAGCGCTTCCAGATCCAGAAGCGACTAACTCTGAGTTAACCAATATGCTAACATTTGCATATGGCAGACAATCTGATTTACAAGTTGTCTCTGCGCCGTTGTTGACGAAGCTAGTCACGTTGCAGTCTGAGATGGAAAAAATATCAAAATCAAGTTATTGAAAATAATAGTAATTTTAGTTGCTTTTTAAATACCATATCTAAATTCCAATATCAGTCCAGACGATTTTTTGAAGATGTTCAAATTTGTTTGTCATTACATAAATATTTTAAAGAAGTTTTTTTTTACAAATTTCATATAATTTGAGATCTGATTTAGCATATTCAGTTGACGCTCTCAACTAGATTTATGATAAGTCGCATGTGCATCGCTCCATCTTAAATCAGTTCTAAAAACAAATTGTGAACCTCTCTTTTAAGTAATATACAAAACATTTTTACAGAACCCTTTTTAAAATTATTATCACTCTCTAAAAAGTTACACGTCATAGTCGTGCGTACAGCAGAGGGCATGCGTGTGTATTAAAACAAAAATGTTTAAGTGGTGTAAAGGTGCATTCACACCAAATCTGAATTTTCGGATCGGAGAGCCTACCGAATCAATCAGAAAATTAGATCAGTCACGTGTGCAGGAATAGAGCACATCGGAAATGAGGTCTAAATTACGGTTCGGATCCGATGAGAATGCAGTTTTAAAATGATGACTAGCTAGATGTTTTCTCTTTTGCTAGAGAAGGATAAATACGGGAGGAACATACATTTCAAATTTTCCTTAAATTTACAATAAAGTTATTTTGAATCTTGAATCTTGAGGAAAGGTATTATGACATGAGAACTCGAGAAAGAGCATCGTTGAGTGTTTTTTCCTGTGTTTTAAATATTTAATAGTTTTTTGTTTTTTGTTGTTGTTGTGAAACTAGATTATTTTTGTTTTCAAGAAGTAAATAATAGTTCATAATACGTACATGTCATGCCCAGTAAGACCACCTGGCCCCCTTCTTCGACACCATCGTTAACCATACACATAATAACTCCGTCATCATTTGGTTGGACGTCGGTTATTGTAAACGTAAACGAATTATTCGACGTCGACGTATCAATACTGAATCTACCATTTGGATTTTCTTCATTTGATTGCTCTAACAAGTCTCCTATCTCGTCACCTTCAAGTCGGTGGATAGTGACGTAATTCAGCACACGCCCAGTGTACAGTCTGTATGTAAAATACATCGTGGCATTCTTCCCAAGTTGAAGATAGAACCACCCTGGTCCCTCCACAAGCGGAGCGGTGTAAGTACGAACTAGTGGTACTACTAAAACAAGTGATTCGATGATTTGATGATAACAAAGGAAAGGGAAAAAACATTTGACATGCCTAAATATGGTCATGATGGCATCACATTATGACCACAAATCATGACTATATATGGGCATAAAACTGTTTTTTGTCAACTACAATTTGACAGTCGGCATGTCAATTAGTACCGTATAGATTGTAAGGTTTTACCAAGAAGGTATAAAACTCCTTGGTTTTACTAAATGCAAATGACGTGCTTCTAATATCGGGTAAAAATCCATCTGGAATTTCTAGTAGACTTCATAAAGAAATTACTGTACGTCATGTAACACTTGGTTAATAAACAACAAATTATCATTGCATGTAGCAAAAACAGAATCAATTCTATTCGGAACAAAACAAAAATTTAAAAAGGCTGACTTCTCGATTAATTATGATGGCAGACCAATTAAGCGGGTAAATTTTAAAAATTATCCTGGTATAATGCTTGATCAATACATTTCCTGTGAAGACATAGTTAAATCATTTATAAGAAAAGTTGATAGTCGTATTAAGTTTCTCGATCGACAAGCATCTTTTTTAGACAAACTCAAGAACATTATGTTCTTCCTTTGTTCAATGTTACTTTTTTTTTAAAGATGCACCTCATGGTATTCATCAATTAGTGCTCACTACAAACACAAACTGCAGATCAGGCATGTTATATTCATTTTAAATGAAGGCCCAAAGTCATGTTGGGCAAAGAGAACTGGAAAGTCGAGGCTTTTTGTATGTAGAAGACAGTTACAGCAATTAAAATGAATTATGTACACATAATAATTAATGCTACTGTCCCCGCATATCTTAGCACCGAATTTCACAGAATTAATAGAAATAGGCATAACACGAGAAGCAATGTAAATATTGCTCCATTTGCTTCCAAACTAATAAATTCCACATTTTATGCCAGTAGTATTAAGGAATGGAATAGATTACCAACAACAACCTGAGCAAATCCTTATTTCGAGAACTTGTTAAAAGCCATCTCTATACCAAGAGACATAATTAGATTAGTAAATTATTTTAAAAAAAATTATTAACATGTTACTGATTTTAAATCATATTTAGCATTCCGTCTGTCTGTCTGTCTAAACTGATGTAATAACGTCACTTCGCAAGACCCCAATGTAAATAAACCTGCTATTTGTTTTCTTGGGCTATCCTGACCAATGTATATGTTTTCCAATATTTTTTCTGTCATTTTTAACCTTTGCTTGTTTTTGTTACTAATCTTTTGTTCGAATTAATGAATGAATCAATAAATAGCCTGGACTGGCCTTTATGCTAAGGTCCTTTAATACGGAACATAAACGAGCATAAACACGTGTGTATGTTGGACATGTGCGTGTTCGTGGCCCTGTTATTATTTTTGTAATTCTTCCAATTTTTAAAATTTGGAATTAGAATTTGCGGCTGGGCCCCTGGGAAGCCACGGCGGCCATAATACGGCGCCCATACCCCTGTCTCGCCTATCTCATGCGAGGGTTATTCGAGGAGCCGAGTGATCGACTCAAATTGCTGTAAAATCCAACGTTGGCCGGATTTGAACCGGGTCTTCGGCACAAGATGAAATGAGATGAGAAAGTTTTGCATGGGTTAAAGGGTCAAAATGAATGAATGAATGAATAAATACACTAAAGACGTACGTCATTTTAGAATTACCTGTAAATAATACAAACACCGTTGGGAATAATACAGATACCGATAACCTGAGAAAAAAAGTAAGGGAACAAATGATTGACGTGAAGCTACTTCTGAACAAACACTACCACCTTCACCACCACCACCACCACCAAAAATACCAACCGTATTCATTCAACACTCTATGATCATCAACCCTTCTACTACTAACTTCTAGTACTAGTACCACTCCTCCAATACCTATCCATAACCATTGGAACCCATCGAATCTCCGATTCATGGTTCATGGAGATTGTAGGTATCCCCATACCACAGTTGGTCCATAATTGCACGCCTCGCACCTTCTCCCACACTCTACTTCATATATTCAGCCCTATTACTACCACTACACTGTTACCACCAAATTGTGAAGTCGTATAGTACACCTAGTGAAAGCCATCGTGAAAGTAAATCGTGAAATTAAGTGACAACAGTGCGTTTTTTATACAGTATTAACCAATGGTAAGCTGTTTTGTTAACCTTTGATCCTCTGATAATGGGGACGTGTGTTTAGCAGTGTAAACAAAAAGTAGCGACAATGAGATAAAACAAGCGCATAGGAGGCGTACTTAAACATAACATCTATATATAAATATAAATGAAACAATTCGGTATAAAATACATGTAAATACTGTACTTGATGTGGTTTAGCTGCTGTCGCGATGGTCACATGATATTATCAGATCCAAAGTATCGAAGAATGAATGTTCAAAGTAGGTTGTTAGAAGTAAATGAGCACCATTTGATCATGCACCCCACAAAAGCTGTCCACGAATTGTCTTTCTCTCTTGATTACATCCCGACAACTAACTCATCACCTCCCAACCATCATTACTTAACAAGTCCTAAGTCATTCTTAAGTCATTCACCGCTTTTCATATTTTTTTTTTCTCTATTTCTAAGAAATACGCCCTTCTACATAGGCCTACCTCATACACTTCCCCATCTCTTCAATCACAATTACAGTAATGACCACGAGGATCAAGAACCACAAAACTCTATCGAACCCACACCTTCACTTACTGGACAATGAGCCTTTAAAGTATATACATGATGGAATCAACAGTGGTAACAATATTTACTTTTATTTTCGAGGGTGGTAGTGTAAATATGTTTGGTTACGTAACTTGTTATTTACGAGTACAAGTACAAGATTGCCATTTACTTGATCAGAATCAGAATAATTTACTGATCATTGAACATATATACTGATAAATCCAAATACATGATTTTAACGACAATACAATATGGGACAACATATATTATATCGTATAAACCAATTCATAGTTAGAACCACGCATGCTTGTATCAAGGTCAACATATGTTTATATCAATTTTATATCGATTGACCTCGATTGGCATTGCATACGAGCATGATCAGTCCAACCACCAATTGGCTTATTAGTATGGTAAGTAATATTACTAACAATATTAACCTGCTATGTACTTTAAGCCGCTACAATGTACCAACAATGTTGGATTTATTTAATATATCCACAGAAGTGTAATCAGTTGTTATTGTTAACTAGTTAACCTTTTGTTAATATTACATTAATATTATTCGTTATGGCTCTTTTTCCTTTTCTGCTCCTTAACTCTCTGGGACTCTCTACCCCACAATTACGTGTCATCTCTGATACAGAGTTATGCAAATACAATCTTAAATACTTCTCTTCAAATAGCTCACTCCTTTCTAATATCTTAAAGCGCTGGTGACAAGCCAGTTTTTTTGCTGCTTAAACCGAGGCTATAGAAATGTGATATATTATTATTATTGTTATAAAAAAGAAATTATGACTGAATGGTAGAGTCTATCTTTTCTGATCTACTGTTAAGGTTTCCGGGTTCAAGTTTATGACACACACAGACCTTCGTAGCTGGCTGCAGCCGACACCTATCCATTTTCCATCCCTTTTTATAGTCACGCACAGTTTACTATCCTTTTTTGTTAATTCTTTCTCCCAATCTGTGTAAAAGAATACAAAAGAATAATCAAGCACTTACAATATTGAATAAATATTGTATTTCTGAACAAAAATACTAATTGAGCATTTATAACATTATTATCATTGTAAAAACATGCTCAAATATGTTAAATAAATACATACATTTATTTTTGCTATTTATCTAATAAAATATGTTCTATCTAATAAATAACGAGCTGTTTTGCTTTAAAAATTTTGAAAAATTATTTGTCCTGCCTTATGTCATTAGTGTAAAATTCTTTCTAATTGTATTTTCCCGTAATATGCTACTTAAAGTCAGGCTGCAAAGGAAAAACAAAAGTTTTTGTTGTACAACTGATTTTTCTTCAACGCAACAAGTTTTTTTTTTACGTAAAATCTCGGGAACAATGTAATGAAATACAGATTTTTGAATATTTCAAAACTGGGGAAAAAATGGGAAAAAGGGGAAGGTTACGCCCCTTTTTCCTCTAGATTTTAAATATTCAAAAATAGGTATCTCATTAACCGTTCTCGAGTTTTTTTTTATCAGACACCTTATTTGTGTCTTAGAAAAATCAATTGTACAACATAAAAAAATAGTTTTTCATCCCGGCCGGAGCCTGGCTTTAAAGCAGTGTATTTTTAGATGTACGCCTAATACACACAGTAAATTTGTGATAGTCAGTGACGGCACACTGCATTTTATTATTAACTGATTCAATATGAGGTTGTTTTAAACGTTTTTTGATTTACTGTCACGTGGGCTTACTTGTGTATTTGGATTGGCCTGCAGTCTTGAGTGTGTAACCAATCCATACATCCTCTACATATTTATACGTCCTTAGAAATACATTTTGAACAATAGTATTCTGGTTCGACGATGCTATAGCTACGAGTGCGCCTCCTAACGAATGACAACGTTTTTTCGCATCTTTCCACTGCAATAAGTCATCGGTGACGACGTAACAATCATTTCCCGATACTCTGGTGCATGCTGGAAAATATATGTACCAAACGTTATTGGTTAAAAACGTACATGTTGATAATTAACAACAAAAAATAACATCGCTATTTTTTTTTTGAAAATCTAACTATATAGCTTTGTTTTAAAGGCATTGAATTTTCAATTTCAGTGTGGTGTATTGATGTTACCAGAGGTTGCCTTTAATCTTAATAAGATTTATTGTTATTTATTTATTTTTGTTTTCATTTTTAATTCAGATTTCCGTGATGTTAATTGTACAATAAGTTTTGTATTTCAATGTTTCTAAATCCACAATAACTTCATTCTTGAAACAATATGAAAAATATATATATATATTTGTTAGAATATATTTTTAATGAAAATTTTATCCATGTAAAAATGTTTGTAAATAAATAAATAAATAAAATTAAGGATTTTTTTACCTCTGACATTGAACGTACACGGGCCTACCACAGCACCGTCAATGTCCGCGTTTCCTGTGCACGTTATCTTCTTTAAAGCACCAGGTCGCATATTAAATCCAGATTTTGGGTAGCAGGATGTGGTAAAGTGTCTTTTCAAGGGGTCAATGACGATGGGGTCATCGTTCCAATAAACGTACAGGTTACGATACCCAGTCTGAGTTGATATGCTAACTCTCGTAGGGCACAACATTGTGGGAAATTTGATGTCTGAAAAGTTAAACACTTTTAATAAGTCTTTGCGAAGAAAAATCAATTATTGTAGCAAGGTGATGAAAGATTGATTAAATTGATTCTCAGCAAACACAAAACGTTCTTATAACGTCTACGTTGCAGCAACTTTCAAACGTTATGAAGTTGTGAAATTACGTTGTAAGTACGTATTTATGGTTCTACAAATTAACTATTTTAACACTAAATTGTAACGTTATTGTATAACGTTCCTAATACCTAGGTTAAGACTTAGATTAAAGTTTATTTTATAACTATTAGTATTACTGATTTTAGTACGACCACTAATGTGCAACTTCTATTCCAATGTTTAAGAAAATGCTCAAGACACACCTTTTTAAGTCATAGTGTATTTATTTTTTGTTAACTGCATAAAGGAGAGTGGAATCCAACACTTTTACGGTTTTTACATTAAATTTGACATTCAGCGCTATGAATCCGCTGGAAATAGTGCTGTATAAAATGTTTATAGATATAGATATAATATCATTCAATTATTACCCTACTTTCAGCATTATTCAAACATCTAGTTATTGCGCAAGTAATTGAAGTACACAATGGGAAACAATACAAATTCTGGTCATTTTATCTATTAATCTTGCAATTTTTGAGTTCAGGTATTTATCACTAAATTTGTATAGGTCCTACTGCTGTTGAAAGTAAAATTTGGTAATGGCACCTTTTTCTGAAGTCAGCTTTGCCACTTAACGCTCAAATTATACTAGTGTTTATAGCAGAATCGGAAACCACTCGCTAGAGCTTTTCTGTGTCTCCATATTGGCCGCAATAATGTTAAAAATACTAAAATCACACTTGCAGGCAACATTAATTCTGATCTTTAAATTTTGTTGGAACAAGATCCGTATTTAGTAGATTATTAGGCAAGGACTACCTGTAGGAGGTAAAAATTTCACAGCTATACCATACCATGGTCTATGTAACATGATGTCTACACTTCAGTGAATACATTATTTTGTCTTACCTGTCTCACAGATGGCACTGGATTTTTCGGTGCACGATGTCATGCGCCAGTAACCGTTTGGTTTGAAGGTTGCACATTTAAAATCATTTTTAGATTTTGGAATGACTAACTCTGTAAAATAAAAAAATAAAAAACACAACCTTTTGTAATTCAGAAACGTACTAAAGAGGAATGAAAATGATTGGTGTTACAACAGATTTAAACTATAAATGTTTTGCATGCCATTGTTTGTCCAATGACTGGCGTGCTCTAATCCTGTAGTTACAGTTTCGGGGTTTTTTGTGATCTTTCCACACTCACATATTTGCCCACTCTTGTGGTTTGGACATATGTATATACATGTCTCTACAACGGGCTAGTACAACTGATTCATTGACGTTTCTGTCTGATAAGTAATAAGTGGGGTAAAATTGCGTATAACCATCTAGCATGAAATAAACATAAAGTACAGGTGGTACTTAAGATGTTCCTGATGATGACATAATTAATGTCGAAATATTGAATTCCGACACGATGGCGTGCATTTCGAGTATGTATTATACTATCTTAGATGTTTTCCTTTTATTCGCAGAGTCAATCGTGTCAAATCAGATGTTTTTCTTGCAAATAATTAGGGAATTACATTATATTTAAACGGCACCTGAATACCAGCTGCATTTCTGACTTAACAAAATTGAAAGCTGACCCTCTATAAATAAGATTTTATAAAACCAACCCTCCCCCCGTTTCATTTAGACACGATAAAAGAAAAATAAATGGGTTATATGGAAAGATAGACTCACTTTTGACTGGCGACTGTAGTCCACTTGACCACGTCCAGGTGTCGTCATGATCAATGTCGTGATAGCCTATCCATGGCGTACGGAGATTTTTTCCGTAATATGCAATCATACTCTGTACACGCTTGTTTTGAGTTTCTGAACGTATTGCCAACAAGTTCCCGCCATTTTGTTGGCATGCATCTTGTGCTTGCTGTCGCGTCTGCCTCTTTTCGATGAGTCGAGTGCACCGACTGTCTCTGATGATGTCACAAACTAAAAAAAGAAAAAGAACGGGAACTTGTGAAATTTTATAATATACGTGCATCCATTTCGGCACATACAGTATAAAATAATAAAAATAATGGTAATAATGATATGCGAAATGAAATAAAGACTGGTAGTACTGATAATGATAATATCAACAATTCTATTGACGATGGTAATAATAGGCCTATTATGATTATTCATGTAAATATTTATGTCATATATATATAATATATATATATATATATATATATATTATATACAATGTATGAATATAAAAAATATTTGTAAACAATACAATGCTGTGGGAAACAATTGCTTGATCTCGGTAGAGGTACAAAATTAATAAGCAAAACCTACAAAGTAAACATAAGTAGCTGTCAAAGATAGAGAATCAGAATTTTTGGACAACACTAGTCCTTCCTCAGTGGCGAGTACTCGAGAATACTCGTAGTGGCGCCCTTAGTCACACCATCTAACTCATTTACAGGGTGCATCACACATATTTTTCTCTATAATATTTGCAGTGTTTGAATATTACCTATTATCTCTATTCTAAATGAGCATAGTCGTATATATGCTGTATTCACTGTATCCCTGACTCTGCATTGAACTGTCGTTACTCCTTCAGGAAATACAGAACCGGGTTTATGAGTACAGTATTCCAAGATACCAATTTCATATGATCCATTTTCAGGCCAGGAGACATTTACACCAGACTCTCCAATAGGAAGCAACATTTGTATGTCGCGTGGACAGGATAGCGCAGAACCTATAAAACAAGAATTTTGTTAAATTACATCTATTTTGTTTAAGATTTTTATCATAGAAGTTGTGAACCCCGGATCCATGGTCAGAAGGTAAGCACCGTGGCCACTAACATACAGGCCATTCATTACCCTAGAATATTATTATGTGTAAACATTTGTGTGTAAATGAAAACGAGGAATCATAGGTAGAATAAACATGAGGGGAACCCAAGTTTCCCCAAAAGTGACGAAGAAGGGGTGATAAACTAATAAATATTTTTTATGGGGTCTTAGTAATCGGTTCGCATTTTAATGTTCGCAGCGGGAACATTTAGACTCCATTTGGATTCTTTCATCTATTTTACGGTATTCATACCGCCGTAAATCACGTTCTATAAAACGTGCTTAAGAAAAATTCTTAATGAAGCTTACTGAAAACTTGCCTGTCGTAAACACTTCAACCTCAGTGATACACAACGTAGTCCATGCTTTCTTGATTTGGATTCCGACAATTTTGCCTAGCAACGGTCTCCCGCACTCAACTGTCGTCTGGATCTTGTCGTGGCGCAGTGTTACTTGGGAACAAACTGGATTAGTTATCACATCGTTATTAAAACCTACTGAGGCATCAGCCCAAGGCGTACGGTAATCTGAAATTTGGATGCAAATTTAAGATCTTACGCTATAATATACTGATATTGAATAATTCAATTTCGTTGTCATTATTTAAACTTTTAAACAGCTTACAATTACACCTAGTGATTTTAATAATGTATTTAACTAAAAGCATGAGTGTAAATTATATATTATTGTACGGTATTATCTAAATTTAACTGTTTTCACAATCTGCTTATTTGACTCTAATTTTTGGTACGGAGGATATGAACTAATAGATTATGGGGTAAAATAAAAACAATGAATATAAATACCATAGCCCAAGCACTTGGTAAATCGTAACCCTGTGACGACGTACATGTCTTCAATATCCACTTTCCACCAAGGTTGATACTGTAAATCTGCAATTAATAACATATTGACGTGAAACAGTTGTTTTATACTTCATAACGAGGAAGGCCATAGTATTAGTAAAAATTACAGGGGACCCAGGGGCGATGGCTGAGGGAGCAAGGGGTGCGGAATGTTCCACTTGTGTAGGCCTAAGCCTAGGCCTGCCTAGATACTACAATGGAAAATTTTCAACTCGATTAGGCCAACGAAAGTACACATATAAACCTATGATATGCCTATGTCATTAAACACTTCGGTAATTCGAAATGAATACAGTGTACTGTATTCTTGCCTTCCTATTGTTACGTGCCGGCGGTAGATCGTTGGAATTATCAAATTTAATTGACGTTTGCCACAAACTCTGTCTGAGCCCAAAAACAAACAAAAAAAAATCCTTAAACAGCATTTTACCGTACAGTACAGAATATAGAGCATACAGTATTGGTGAAATGTATAGAAGCAGCAGCCTAATGTGAAATAATGGGTTTTAAATGTTATCATGATTTTAAAAATACATCAAGTGAAGGTGACATTATTATTTTTGATTGAACATTTTAATCTTTATTTTTTTAATATAATATAATAAAAATGAAACAATGTGTAACAAGAAAATAGTTACAAACGAACAAAATATTATTTTAATTACGGTACAAAGTTAAGAATTAAATTGTGCCAAGAAGGACATAAAATACCTCGCAAAAAAAGCTACAAACACCAGAGCGGCTGGGGGCTTCGTCCCACCACCGGGGGCCCTTTGCAGCCTCTAGCCCCAGCACCTGGCTCGGGACGTTCGGTCCTTTCATTATGCCACTGATCCCGCATTTACAATTTTCGCACCCTCCCATGGGAACCACCCTACGCCCCTGGGGGACTATGTGTAGTTCTTAAAATCTCATAGATGCCAGTCCACTTTAAGTATGAAAACGATATATGATAAAATACTTCTCATCTTACAGCAATTCTAATCTTACCACCAAAATTTGGGTAATTTAGAGGCTTTTTACGGAAAAGATGATTAAATTAGAAATAACTGAAAAATTGGAATCCATATGAGAACAATAAATATAGAGACTGTATCGTGGGTCTGTTAATTTAATTTGTGAAATAATGTTCTCGTTAAAATTAGGTAGGCCCATATAGACCTACATTAATACCTTATGCGAAGTAAACAATTTAAATATTCAAAGAAAACTTAAAACTCTTAAAACTTGTTATAATATTTATTTCTTACTTGTCATTAACGAACTTGCGTGAAGGTCATCGAATTTTGGCCAATAGTAACCATCAACGGCCACAGCAGGATCCCACCTCCAAACACTGCTAGCTTGAGTAGGCTTTCCTCTAGCAATGGTACCTGGACAGGGTTGTGTATTGCAAACGCGTCTTTCTCTGGCAACGCCAGTACATTCTCCGGGGAAGTTACATTCTCTGGTACGGTCCTGAACAGAACCTCCGCAAGAGACCGGGCAATCATTCCATTGCGACCATTTGTTGAATGATGCTATTAGTTAGGAGAAAAGTAGATTATTTGTGGTTATTCAATGTATTTTATATAAAGTCAAAAATTATCAATGATTACTTCAATGGCTCTTATAAAATAATGTTTTAGAAATCAAATTGTTCTCTCTATTCCTCAGTTCCTTACTAAAAACCTATAAAAAAGTGGTCCATCACTTACGTTTTTGCCCTTTTTTGAACCAGCTTTCGAATAATTCTCTTTGCAGCTTCAAGTCGCAGTTTGACTCATCTGTTTTCCAATGGCTTTTAACATTTCCAGCTTATAATTCTAGATAATTATTTTTATCAATCAATATTTTAATGCTACATCTACCTTTTGCTGTCTGTGATTTCCATATTTCACAAACGACACTAGCGTTCCACGAGCAATAACGCTCATGCCAGCCTCCATATACATCCGATACAACGCAGTCAATTATATTGCGAAATATTTGTGACGGAGGTGAAGTTTCAAAGTCTGAGAAAATAAATATGGATATGTTGGAAAAATGAGTTAATTCTCCTTCATATTATTTAATATTTGCATCTGAACAGCAACATCTAAACAACTAAATGAAAACTAATTGTTGAAGATATACCATGATGATAATTTTGATAATGGTGACGATGATGATAATGGTTATGATAAGTTTAAGCATAATAATAGATTATCAATAACATAATTAACATAATCAACATTATCAAAAATAACAATTATAATACTTACCGTACTTAAAATTATCAACAAAATAACATAATTTGATTCAACTGATGCAGATTCATCTATCCAGATTGACTGTTATAAATTTATAACATAGTTATTATGATATTATAGTAAGTATCATTTATGCAAGGGTCAAGAGAAATCCTATCCGGGAGATCTAAATAAATGAGCTTTCGTAAGACATTTGTATTTCATTTTGCTGCGCATGATGATACCCATCGATACCGACATCCGTGAGACATTTGATGATACTGTAGTAAAACATACACATATTATGATTTTGCGGAAGATGGTTTATTTTCTGAGAGATTCTTGCTTGTGCTGGAGGCCGTTCCGATTTCCGGGAGACTCCGGCGACTTCCGTTAGACTTGGATCCCTGGAGATGTTAACTATTATATTATGTAACCTTTATAAACTTACTGTGATAAAAACTTTGTTCTCTACTCGACCCCCAAACATACTTGCCCTCCGTTAGCATGTCGTTCAGCGCAATCCAATAATAAAATTTCCCAGGTAACATTTGCGCAATCTTGCGTCTGAGAAGCTCATTCTCTGTTGATGATGATATTACCGGAAGAGAGCCTCCAATGCTTTTGCACTTCTTTTGTGCTTCAATCATTGTCAATTCATCTTTAAAAAATCTATAGCAACTCCTTCTCCAGCAATCTGAAAACCAAATATCGTTATACCATATAGATTAAACACAGCAAATGAATTAATTAGTTTGAACTGCTTTGTAAGGACATGGTTAGATAGTACCGGTAGAGAATGTGAAGAAACACACCTCGTGAGACCAAACTGCCAAAGTTTTTGGCAGAAGTAAAATATAGAGTAAAAATTGTTTATTAAGATGAAATAAATGACAATTGGTCAACAAAAAAAATTCTACAGTATACAATATTCTCTAATGACGTAAAAAGGATTTGGAAAAATTAACAGTACACATTTTGTGCACTGCTGACGAGACGGCCAACACATATATAATGCTGATACAGAGAAGCCGCATTCGAATGATGTTATTATTAATACTTCGTTCGAATAATATAAAATATGTTTACTTGAAGTACTCGACTCTTTGTTTCGTACGGAATAATAGTTGAGATGAAATCCCGATTCTGTGGTGCTGCTGTCAGTGTACATGCGTATCCACGCTTCGTTCGCTGATGACGTAATCACAGGTGGAAGATCAAAACCGCAAAAGCTGAAACGTAAATAATGAACTAATAGTTTAAAGATGTACTATCAGTCAAAAGCACAGAAAAATACCTCAAATAACATTTTGAATAGCTCATTTGAGGATCAAATAATTTATTAGCCTCCAACTAGACTTGCCACAAGTCTCTAATTTATTGATTTTTCTTAGTATTAGCACATTTCGGAAAGCGCCACCAGCGTCAGTTTATGTCAAGAAACTTTTGATGCGAACTAAGACAAAGAAAAAGTATACTATGAAACGCCAAGGAAATAGGTAATATGAAACGTCATTAGTGCCAAAATTGATTTTTCCAGCTTTTTGACTGATTAAGACAACGTTTAGGGACTGGAACCCAGTCTAGCCTCCAACGAGAAATAGGTCAAAATTATTACAGACATTTTACAACACAAATCCTTAAATTAACAGCCAATTTAAGGATTTATGCAAAAGAATACAGGAAAATTTAACTGTCCGAAAATTGACTGGAAATTTTTCTAAATTACATTGTTTAATTTTAAGTAAATATATTACTAAATATACAAATCAAGAAATTCAAATGTGGAATAAAATTCAATTTGTTTACCTCATGACTGATCGTACATCTTTTAATCCAAAGCAAGAAAGATAAATGCAAGAAAATATATAGCAATACGTAAAGTTATTTGCTAGTATCCATCCATCTAATTGTATTAATCACTAATTAGTTGTCTCAGGTTCATTACATATTATCAGAGTGGCGAAATTCAAACGTACCTTTCGCCACCATTGTATAAATCTTTTGTTCTTAGCAAGACACTATCTGCTTTACATCCAGGCGCAGGCTCAACATTAAATGACGTAAAGTTCAATACGATTTTATAATTTGGTTTCACCTGGAACAAGTAGTAGTGGATAATATATGAATTTAATAAAGAAGACAGTTTTGGTACACATTACTACACTGTATTGAATTGTGAAATGGATACTCACTGGCATACGACTTAGTTCACATTGTATAATGTTGACGCATATATACGCAAACGCAATCAATGCTAACTAGTGGGCGTGTGAATTTTGTTTGCGTTTGCTTCAATGTGTTTACCAATCAGACGAATGGGATGCGCGGCTGTTTTTTTTTTTTTTTTTGAGAGCCAATCACACGATGATACGTTCTAGATGATTAAATTATTAGGGAGCTTTCGATTTGTACGACGACGCGACGCTAGAACGGAATCAATCATGCGTGACCGTCCTACCTGGCGTCCTGCGTTCATTTGGCCAAATTGCTTTCCAGAATCTACTCCGACGAGGTGACCTTAACGTTCTCGCATGCACAGATGACTTTTAGTGACGTCATTACGTTCTACGTCCTACCGTCGTCGTGCAATCGAAGGCTCCCTATTAGTAAAGATGGAACGATGATCATGAGCCCACTAAAATTATAACATAAAGACATGTAATGACATGTAATGGGATTACCACTAAAGTATCGATTTTAGTTTATGGTATCGAAAACGTGGAAGTATGGAAAAGTCAAGTGATATGGCTTACCTTTATATGCCACATACAGTATATCTTATTGTCATAATGCAGAGGGAAGTTTGGAGACGAGACGCTTCCACGTTGATTAGTTAAAGAGAAACGGCATTTCTCTATAGAAGAAATCGAATAGAATAGTTGGTGTTCGGATGCATTCATGAATTAAAAAAATTAAGGCATAGTATTTATGTAAATATTTTAAGTTTATATAATTATATATATAAATTTTATATATAATTATATATATATATAATTATATATATGTATATACAGTTTATATATATATTATATATATATATATATATATATATATATGTATGTATGTATACTGAAACAATCTATATTACCTTCGACTGTTGTATTTCTCTTCTGACAATATTTTCCCATATACTTTTCAGGGCAGATACATTTACACTTATGTCCTTGGTATCCTCCATTTATGCATTTTAATTTCTTGCTACACTTTGCTGTGGGAATCCATTCATAACAAATGTTTTTTATTAAATGAAAAAAAACCAAAAAAAAAAAACCAATTGCATTGTAAATATAAAGCTACGCGCTGTCAATGGCCCTTGCGGAAGTGTCAGTCAAACTTCGTATTTACTCCCACATATTCACAGGTATTGTAATTAAATAAGCAAGAAAATAATAAAAATATAAAAATAAATATAAAAATGCATTCCTGCATTCCTATGTAAAAACATTCAGTAAAATTTAATTACTTGCCACTGCAATTATAGGCTAGGTTGACGGACTTGGCATCGTAGAATGTTATATCCGAAGAAGGTCCAACATCGTATTGCAGCAGCGGGTCCACCGTAACGAACTTCGTTCCCAGCGGGCCATACTGCAAGGGAGATTATATCAATATTTGAACCAAAGTCTGGATAATTTCAAAAGAGCATATGTACTGTTCTTTGACCGTTTGAGTACCAGTCTCTTGTGGAGCTGTCGAGACGAACGGGAAACGGTTCATTTCTGTATGTAAAAATTGGCTACGACCAGCGAAACCAGTAACCTTGGCTAGAGATACGAGTCACAGACTAAAGCTCGGTTATCACATCACTGAGCCCCCTGTTTTCTATGATCATATACAGTAATAAAGTTTGTCCAAATTAAAGGTCCTTGGTTTGCCACGTAACACAACAACAAAAAATATATATTTAGTGTGACTCAGATATAGAAGGATATCACTTAATAAATTTTCACCTTGAGGCAGGCGTCTCTCCTAGCGCCACAATTTGCAGTGATCGGGGCTTACTTGTTTCCGGAATTGGCAATTTCTATTATTATTATTTATTAATTGTTTAAGGGTTTGCATGGCGAAGTAATAACATGTTGAAGCTTGCGGTACGCCACGTAGGTAGTTCTGAAAAAACTGTTGTAGTTGAGAAAGTCTCGACGTTTCGATTGAGTTGCTTCAATCGTTTTCAGGAGAATAATATCCGATATTATTCTCCTGAAGACGATTGAAGCAATTAAACTACAACAGTTCTTTTCAGAAATATCTACGTGGTGTACCGCAAGGTTAAACATATATATTGTTATTGTTTCATTTTTATGATCATTATCATCATTTTGGCAATCATCCTCTTCCTCCTCCTCATTATTTATTATTATTATTATTATTATTATTATTATTATTATTATTATTATTATTATTATTATTATTATTATTATTGTTGTTGTTGTTGCTGTTGTGGTTGTTATATCATCATCAACATTCGTTATTATGTCATTATTGATGGTTAAAATGTCATTGTATAATAATGCCTATTTAAACTCTTTGTAAACCCACATTTAATCAGTTTTTAACTGCAACTTTGAGGGAAGAAGGAATGCTTGAAAAATTGACTGTAGTCACCTTTCCGTAGTGCATAATGGACTTTAGGTCGTACTCCACATTTGTCGTTGCTGACATCATTTTAAGGTATCGCGCCGCCTCTTCCGGTGGGACATTTTGCCACAACATCGTTATATGCTCATCCCTGTCTGGCCTGTTGTGCTCATGGTAGAGACCGATTGAGTGTCCCAGTTCGTGTATCACTCCAAATAACTAAAAAAAATGTTACTGTCATGTGTCACATAATTGGAGTTGATTTTGTTTCGACACTAGCTCTGTCGACCGCGTTATTATCTATTAAACCTTCTTCGTCAAAATGCATTATAATTGTTTGCTTGGTATTCAATTTCCTGACACTTCGACTCACTTAAATATTTTATTAGTTATGGAAACCTGATGTCAACGAAATGAGTGCCAAGCATCAACATTTTAATGTATTATGATTCATTCAAATTCAAATTACAACGTGGTCGACTCAGCATTTATAAAATGGTTTAGTTACAATTTTATAGTGGAGTTGTATAACTGAGTTAAGATGCTTGCCTTCTAAATTCTAGAGTCTTCGGTTTTAAACTAAAAAATACTCCAAAAAAAGACTTTTTTAAAATAAAGCATCGGATCATCCTGTAACTGGCGACCTCTTTGTAGAAATAATAATAATAATAATAATAATAATTATTATTATTATTATTATATATAACCATCTGTATCTATAATAATGTATCCAAGACAAAAATGAAATAAAAGACTTTTCAATGAAATACCAATATTAAATATAACAATAATTACTTTTAAACAAATAGACTTACAGTATTGCAGGCGTTGATAAATTGTTTTATACTGTATCTTCCAACGACAGATCTGCATCTAAATGATGTATAACAATATACACCGATTATAATAAATAACAAATTATTTTTATTTAATCTGTTATCAAATGTAAGAACAGCTAACCATCTGAATTTCAATGAATGAAGATTAATGCTTGTAAGTTTTAGTAAAGGAAAGTAATCCGCAATTCCCAACCGGAATACGCACCCGGCATCCTGCTATAGGCATATATACAGGCATCTTAACTGGGCCACTGAGAATTTCCGTTGGGAATTTAAATTCGATTGGAGGCAATTAATTTCACATTCTATGTATGTGCGGGTACAACACAAGTGCTTAACGCATTGGCATTAAAAACACACGCATATTATAAATGAAAAAATGAAAAGGCCTATTTAAACTGACGTATTAATGACACTTTAACATTTTACCTGCCTTCTTTGAAGAAGTTTATCCTATCGTCATGAGGTAGCGTTTTAACAACCTTTGAATTCCATGGTACAAATCGTATGCACGTTCGTTCCTCCCATCTATGCATACCTTTCCGTAGGATCTCTTTATCGACAACTAAAAGCAGAATTAATATTAATACATTAAGGAATACCGTACAGTCAACAGCAATATTAATAGGCTATACATCTTTGTACAGGAACTCAGTAGGCCTATACCAAAATATGTAATATTTATTTGTAGGTATACATGCAAGAGGGCGGTAACTGGTGTACTTGTAGTTTCTAAATTCATACAGTTTATAACTTTAAGTGTATGAAAATATCTTAACTAGCACCAACCAAATTGTAAATGATGAAATTGAGAAAGAACGTGTTAACAATTATAAATAAATACAAATGATAAATATACTAATATACATACAACTTGGTAGCTGTGGAGTATATAAGCTCATTATAATAATCATACATCATAATAGACCTACTACAATTGTAGGAGGAAACAAACTGGACAAATTACATCCACGTCTAAAAATATAAGATGCGTAGACCCACACTGGCTTCATAACTACATTTTAAACGTTACAAATATTAGTAGAATCAAATCATTAAACAATGCCAAAAGCGCACGTGATGTCCGGTTTACTTTTTATTTATTTCGAGATCAAAATATTCCATTTTTCGTTGTATTACTACAATTAAATCAACATTCTAATGTTTAATTACATTAGATAAAATTTATAAAAATATGATCCCAATTAACAACGTCACTGCGATATATATATAGGCCTATTAGACTATGTGAAAATAAAGCTTCGACTATATGAAACCCTATTGTGTTAATTATGAAGACGATATATCATCTAAAAACAATTGTGATTCATTTGCAACAAAACATTAAAAAACATTTCAGTGTGAATTACAAAATAAAAATATCATATTTAGGCAAAAAACTGCGGATTTTATTAGTCCACAATGACAATATAACCTGTTCATATTTATGGGTATACAAAAGTTGAGGTCTCCATATATGGTGACGTGGTAAATCATACGCGAACACGTGCGTTGTGAGGCACGCGCGTATTCCTAGCGCTGTTCTGATTAGTCAGTTGTTAAGTTTGATTGAGACTCCGGAAAGATCTATTGTGTGGGGAAAAGTTCAAGCCACATCAATGTGGTTTCTAAGAACAATGAGCGACATACAATGGTAGACACTATTAGCAAGGTCAACTTTTGCACGAACGAGCCAAAACTAAATCTGAAATAGAGATATCTAAGTGGTACACGTATATGTCTTATTTTAAGCTAAAAATAGTCTTTAATAATACGATATTTTGTTTTTTTTTAATAGATTACGGTATCTCCTTTTAAAACTACGATATTTAAAGTAGCAAGGGCCTAGCTCTATCTTACATTTATATACATAAAGTTTACAAGATTTAACTAGAAATATATGTAAAATATTATTAGAGATATTTCCAACGTTATTTTAAATCTGCTTTAAATAGAGATATCTATAATGAAAAAAACAGATAGCTCTATTATTAGAGTTATTTTTTTAAAAACTTAAAATACCTCTATTTAAATCTAAGATATCTTACTTTTAAGTAGAAATATCCCGAGGCAACTCAGCTGGACAAATATCTATTAATAATTAAGATAGCTCCATTTAAACCTAAAAATATCTCTTTTCTAGAGATATCTCTTTTTCTGATGAAATTATGGTTCCGCTTGCCACTGATGTCGCATCAAAAACTGATAGAGCGGAGACAGTTTACAACCAAGCTATTTGTCATTCGGAATTGACATACATTTATCTCATGACCAAGAAACATCGTATCATCATTTTTTCTTAATCAAGAAAAACGAAATCGAAACTTGAACAATTTATTAATGGTGAACCAAATAATTGTATGCGGCTTTTACCTTGAGTGTGTTAAATTATAAACTGAAATAACAAACGCATATATGGCCAAAAAACTTAATTTGAAAATTTTGGCCGGGAATTTATTCCTACCTTAGTGACTGGGATGTTTGACCACATACCGTATTTAAACTAATCATAATCCAATGAAATAGCAGAAATGTAACAGTATGAAATTGTTCACCAACTGATATGTGCTAAGTTACAAAATAAAATATGCAAATATGTTAATAAGGAGCGTTCGATTGCGACGTTTAGAGCGCTATCCCTATCAGATTTAACAACTGAACAATCAGATCATGGCCTGGAATACGTGCGTGTCTAACAAGCATATCAGCCTGGTTCTCACTAGAGCCCTAGTATCCGGATCGGGAGCTAACCGTTAGCGCTAACGGTTAGCACCTGCGTGAGAGCGCCCGATCGGTTAGCAAGCGCTATCGGTTAGCAAGTTGAGCGCGTTTCTATCATCAACCAATCACACGTACGCGTTTACAATTTCCAGTTTCTTATTGCCCAGTGATTCGATCATCATATTTTTGGTATCCGGATCGGGATTATCTCGTATGGACGCACTTCAGCTAACGGTTAGCAAGATCCGGATCCTGCTAACCGTTAGCAGCCGTGTGCGAACATAACCCTAGTGTTGTCCCGCAAACGCACGTGTTTGCGTATGCTTTAACGCTGTGGGACCTTAGCAACAATATCTAAGGGGCGGGGTTTAGCGGAAAGGTCCATTACGCCATAGATTATCGTTGCATAATCGAAGGCTACTAATTTAAGTTCCACAACTCACGTGCTTCTGGTTGTATCTTGAACGGTACAATCCCTTTAGGCCATAGCCTATTTTGATTGGACACCATTGAACGTTTACTCCGTGACCCATGACTACGCTCTATTCGAATATCAGTAAGAAATTCTGTTGAATCCTGAAAAAAATAAGGCGCACTTTTTTATTTTCAAGCCTGGGATTTACGAATTACTTGAAGAACAATAATTATATATTTTATAATAATGATGAAGTAAGCTCGGACAGGCCACCACCATATCCGCAAGGTAGTGGTGACTGAGAATGACTGACGTTAGTTAAAACAACAGTGAGAAGATTCAATCAGGTTCAAACGAGATATAATTATTGTGTAAGGTTGAGACCTAGGTATTACGTAATTTTCGCCGCACGATGTTAACCTTAAAGTGTAACGGATGACGTCATAATTTATTCATCTTGTGTTGCGGAGTACGTTAATTTGAGCATTTTACGTGCTCGATGTACGTTAGTTACGGGTTTGCGCATGCGTATTTCGATTTGTTTACTAAAGAGGAGAGCTATAGCGTTGCATGTTGGGTACTAACGTTAAAGTTAAGGTCAACGTCGTGGAGGGGGGGGGGGGTGTGGGAAACACCTATTATCCGTTAAAACGCGTCTGCTGTTCACCAATATACCCATAAGCACTAGTGACAACTTCGGTTTAACCGGCGCTATATAAATTTTAAAATTTATCTATCTATCTACAGTATCTATAAGAATTATAGGCCTAGGTCTAATCTACTAAATAGGTAAATATTAATGTGTAATTCCTGTAAATAATGCAATGTTTTACAGCAAAGCGGTATTTTAAAAATTGGTCAAATTTACAAGTACCAGTAGGCACAGAAGCAAAAAAAAAAAAAAACAAAA